TTCAGTGGTCAAACATCCCTGAATATTTTCACATTAAATTGGGCACGCAGAACTTGGCCCTTGATAGCTTAAGGCTGTAAAGCAGGGCTCTGGCTGACTGCTTCCCATGCTTGTTTTCCACACTAGCCACCCCTTTGCCATTTAAATGAGGAATTCCACGTGAGAACCAGGCTTCCCTGGTTAGGGGACATTTTATAGCAAGGGACCTTTACTGAAATAAATCACTCGCATCACTCCTGAACTAAGAATTTCAAGGATTGTGGCAGATGAGGAAGACAGTCTTGGGAAGTGAATTTTTGATAAGAAATGAATTAATTTGGTTATTTTCATGCTGTGGACCAATAACAGCCACCGTCCACTGGGCCCCTGGCCTGAAGGCAGCTGGGTAATCAATGGATCCCACAAAGGCAGCTCTCCGCCCCTGGCAAGGCTCTCTGATCTTTTTTCTTCGTGGACTCTTCACGCCTGTGTAATTCTAATTTATGTCAACCAGAAATCAAAGAGATTCCAGGAGGCTTTGGTCATAGGACATTGGAGTGGACCTTTCACAATCTATTTATGTCTAGTCCTTGAGTAACAGGGCCCACATAGCCTTCCAGACACCTCAACTGGCCAAGGAGAAGGCGGACACCTCTTAATGGCGTGGGTGGGGGCAAGGCAGAGTGGCCTAAGGTGTACACCGGGACATTTTCTCCTAGCTCCTAACCCTGCAGGAACATAAGAACTAAGCATTTTAAGTGGATGCTTTGCCAAGAGCGGCTCCCTCAATAACGCTCTTTAATGATACCCCAGACGCTGGCATTTTCAAATCAAATGAACAGTGTGTAAAATTAGTTCTGCATGAAGTTAAAAAAAAAATGGAAAGTGAAAGGGAGCTTTTAAAAGCTCCACATTTCTCCATCCAACTGCTTTTCACAAGGGTTTGGCATTTGAGAATTGCTACGTTTACCATGTTATTCACTGCTCATAATTCAGGCCTGTGTCTCCAAACCTTGGTATTAACACATACTGCAGAGGGTTCCAAGCCAGCCAAGTTGCCTCTGGCGAGGTCTCCTTTTCCAGCCAATGCTGTTCCGCTGTGCCCGCTCTCCTCATCAACCCTCGTTACCCCAAACCTTTTTCATTAACCTTGAACACTGCATTTCCATTTGCCCTACAGCTTTCCCATGCATTTTCCCCTTTCAGTTCTGTTCCCTATCCAAACTGCCTTGTAAGAAATGAGGAAAACATCGTAAGAAACACATCTATACAGTCTAGATTCACGGAAGTGGTGAAAACAAGTTCTATGGACAAAGTCACTACGCACTGTTTATAGTTGTGGAAGCTAGAGCAAACACATTGCTTTTTATTACAGTTCCATTGGTTACCCCAAGTATTTTTAACTAGGTCACTAAACAAATGTGAGTCAAACTGATAGGTGATTTCAGGTCAACTCTAATTCCCAAGGTCAAGTAAGCCTTTGAACAGTGTCTAAGAGTATAAGCTCCCCCCAATTCATCAAAGCAGTCTCACACAGCGATTTCTTCTCTTGGTTTTTACAATGCATTAAAGTTTAGGAGATTATGTGGCGTCAGCTTCAAAACCTTTTAACATGCTTATCCATCCAGCCATCGGAAAAGCTACTCGGAGACTTCTTAATGCACTTCCTAACTTTACAGCTGCGTGGGGAAGGCTCCAGTTGTTGGAGAGCTGGAGGCCTCCTCCCCGGGACTCAGCAATGTTGCAGCCAAACGAATTTCCTGCAAATTTACTTAGACATTGATAATCCGAGTACATGCTTTTTCAGCTGCAAAGAATATGTTTAATGCTTTGCATCTGCGGGCAGGGGGAGGAGATAGACACAGAGATATTGAGATTTTCCTACAACAAATAGAAGGCATTTTGTTATTATTGTTCTTGTAACCTCTTAGAAGCAGAAGTAGGGAGGGTGGTTCCAGTTTGGTGAAGTATAGCCTCCAAATTAAATACAACCAGCCCTAAGTGAAGCTTGCATGTGAAAGAAGATATAACTAGACTCTACCATACCTTTCTCTTCTTAAGAGAGTCTCACTCTGTACCCATGAATGACCTGGAACCACAGTCTATACCTGTCTCCGCAACCCCCCTCCGGCAATTCTAGGACTAAAGGAATTCATCCTCAAGCCTAGCTGACTTTGTGATTTCTCTCTCTCTTTTGTTTTTTGAGACAGGGTTTCTCTGTATGGCTTTGGTGCCTGTCCTGGAACTCGCTCTGTAGACCAGGCAGGCCTCGAACTCACAGAGATTGCCTGCCTCTGCCTCCCGGGTGCTGGGATTAAAGGCGAGTGCCATCCTCCTCCCCCTCCCCCCATGACTCTCATGATTTCTAAGGACTAGAGAACTCCAGAATATGAGTGGAGAGACTTACACACTCACAGACATGTCTCTCCCCACACAGGGATCCTGCTGACCACATTCTTGGGCAGGTGGCTAATTGTGTGGATGAAGAAGTCTCTGGCCCTTGGCTGGCTCCAGATGGTGTGCGGAAGGAAGGAGGTGGGAATCTGTAGCTCACGAACTTTGTTAGTGGTCTGCAGGTCTGGCTGAGTTACAGCAACACAGTGATAAGCATCCACTTGGGTTGTTTGATGCTTTGTTGGCATGATGACCAATGTTTGGGATGCACATCAGAGCTTCTCCATGCTCGGCCCTGGCTTCTCTGTTTCCTATCTCCACTCCTGTTTGCCTTATTTCTTCTTGCTAGTTTCTCTACCCATGCCAACAGCCTTATAGTCATAATTTCTTCATCTCTGTGATGCAGCAGAGGGTTAGGAACTTTTATCCAAATGTTTCATGGAGACTGGGTTTTTAATCAATGAAGTGTGTGGAAAGTAGGATTATTGATCTCTTTCTACAGTTTTTCTGTAGGAAAAACTACAAAGATATTGTCTACGAGTCTGAATCTATTTTATTTCCTCTTTAAATTTGCTTCCAAAATGTGGTTTCTGTGTTTGAGTATTGTATATTGTATTTTGAAATTCACATATCTCAGTATAGTACATATTACTGTAACACTGAGAAGGACAATAATTCAGGATATTTTATATATGATTGGCATCATTCTAAGCACCTTATATACATTAATTCATTTAAACACTCACAATTCTACAAGACCGGGACTAGGATAATATTCATTTCACAAAGGCTGTAGGAAGCTTTGTTTGGGATTACTCCACTATTAAGTGTGGAAGCCCAGATTTGAACCCAAACCCTGGCTCCAGTGGACATTTAACGATGGCTGACATAAAACAAGGTTTGAAATCTGAAGAGCTCTGTAGTTTGGATTTTCCATCCGACTTTCTGTTCAAGGCGTTGCTTGCACATTGTGTGTGGCTTGGAAATGTCTTCTGCTCTCACGGAGCCCTTCCTGTTTGCCCCGGAGCTGACTGAGTCTCAGGAAGGCAGACGCGAGGCTGAGCTCCTTGGGCAGGCTGAGGCCAGGCGGCACTGTGTCAGAGGCGACAGGCTCCCGTCCCGGAGCAGTCCTCTGGCTTGAGAAAAGGTTCAAAACTGAACACAGAACAGGCTGCAACCCTTAGGGAACGCAACTAATTGGAACCACCTCTCCACCTCATATTGCGGTAATTTGTGCTTTTTCTTTAACCTAAAATGTTGATCCGTAACTAGGTGTGGCCTTGTCTTCTAAGCGGAAGCAGACCTTCAGTATAAAAAGCATAAAGAGGGTGGGCTGGAAAGGGTGCTTCTAAAGTCGCTCACTTTGGAGTCCTTGGTGTGAGACAGCATTTATGGGCATGGCTTCTGGTGGAGGTGCTTGCCTGTCACTGTGCTGTTTCCAGAGTCCTCTGTGTACTGCGGACCCTTTAACTGTCAAGTGACAAGGCTAGCAGCAGCGTTCTCTTAGCCAGTGATGAGTGTTGAGGGAGACTTGCTCCTGTGGGTCTCAGTGCTGTTGCTAAGATACAAAAGCAGGTAGCTTTCTGCGCTGGGCTAAGATAAAATGCAGTCCCTAGAACATAACTGGCAAAGGTCTAGAACAGTTGAGATTTTATAGCCTCGGAAACAACAATGACAAAGAACACAAGGGATTTGGGCCACTGTTACTTTTGCCCCAGATTTGTCTCGCATCAATTCTTGTGACAGATTTGTCCCTAAGCATCATCGCAGGAGTAGTACACACATGTGAACTGGAGTGGGCGCCAGCACTTTGTGAGAGCACATCTCCAGGTGCACCTTTTCAAACAAGCGACCTTGGCAGGTTCAACAAACACCGGGATCAGACCAGACCTCAAAGACTAGTGAGTGGCCCTCTGCAGGACACTGGAGTTTCGCAGCCTCCAGCTTCTCCTGCGACAATGCAATAAAGAACTGATCCTTTGATCTGTTATAGGGACTCATGGAGGTCGCAAAGGAGAACACATTTACTCAGAGCTCAGTGGTCTGTACAGATGCTCTCCATTTCCTCCTCAGTCTTCAAATGTTAAGTGCAGCACCGTTCCTAAACTCATGCTCCATCCCTGACGACGGGGAGGCTCTGTGGAATTTTGGCTGGCCCTCTGGGGATATTTCACAGCATGTGATAGGAGAGACAACCTGATACGCAGGGAGACACAAATTGGTTCCTTCTTGCCGCCAATGGCCAGAACACATACGTGTGCAGAAAAGGAATGAGCACTTATGAAAAGCCAATTTGACACTTTACTGTTACAGGAAATTTAAACTCTGGAGTTTTGTTTGTTAAACCCTACAGATTGCAGTTTGCATGCAGCCTTTTAAATTCTGCTCTGTGGATTTAGGAACAGGAAGCTAAATTCTATGATGACACTCTGTGTGTGATTATCTTACCCCCTTTAAAGTACAAAAACCCAGTATTAATCAGAAATACAAAAATGATTCCAGATTACTTTCGCAAACCAGGGTAAGAGTGCATGGCTAGCGGTGTGCAGGAGCACGTAGAAAGAGAAAGTGGCATTAAGCTAGTTACTATAGCAACCACATGCAGAAAACAAACAAGTCCACCTTACTTTGTCACATCTCATCAGTCCCAAGTATCTCAGGGATTTGCTGCTCTGTGCAATCAGGGTGGCTCCTTGATCTGTGATTTCTTTACACCATCCAACGTCCACCGTCTCTATGGTCACGCTGTATCGCCCAATGGCGATCAGTGCTGCCAGGAGGAACAGGGAGAAAGTGTTGACATTAGCAGTGTAAGGGACCTACCTCAGCCCACGATGACTCCTGGGCTCATTTCCTCACTGAACCTGTTCCTGAAATGCTGTGTGCAAATGAATGTTTATAAACTAAATTAAATTTGAAATGCTTTAAGAAAGCTCGCCCTATGACAAACCCCAGTGTGCGGTGAATAATCATTCGGTAATTTCCCTTTCATTGAACACAATCTTTTTTTGGCTTGCTCACTTCAAGGTTACCTATACTTTCAAGCATTCATATTTGCAGGAGGAATATCACAAGTAAATTATAGATGGAGCATTGTAAAAGCCCAAGTGCTATCTAAATTTTATTCAAGGTAACGATAATACTTTTTTAAAAGAATTTAAAAAAAGAACGACATGAACATCATTTTGAGGTGTGTTATATTACATGCAAATTTCTTTATGGACCAGTGTAATTTTTTCCATCTGTTTATGACCTGTAAAATGTAAGAGCATATAATATTTTTCACATTAGTTCTTCTTGGGGCTGTTGGGAATTAAGAGTACATTATACATATAGTTGAATTTAATTGGTGCCAGGCTAGAGTGCAGTAAAGGGAATGTATTTGTTATGGTAAATTTCCTTTCCATATCAGAAATCTTTCTATTTAATATATAAAAAGAGCCTGCCGTCTGCACACCATGACGTTATCTTTAATGTTCTTGATGCTTTACCACAGTACTACTACTAAAATGCAGATGCCTATGATATAGTCTCCGATGGACTTCAGTTACCCCTGCACAGCTCCGAAACCCTTTACCCTGCTAGAGCCACAAATCAGCAAACGGGGTTCTTCTTTAGGGGCGGTGTGTGGTTTGGTAGGCGAGCATGGCTCTAACATTTACAAAGCAGATAAAACATACTTTAATAGCAGCAAGAGTGATGCTACCATGCATTGCTCTGTGAATGGAACCCTTGACAATAATGCCACAGACATTAGAAGGGGAAGAACAATTGTTTGCTGGTTACTTCCTTATTCTGATGACATGGTTTGACTTCTGGAGCTATGGAGGTGGGAGGTATTTTCTAAACTGTGCAGAATAAATTTCTCATGTAAATAAATACAACCCCGGGAAACATCACTTGGCAAAAACTCTGATAACCATCTCAGTGATTATTATTTTTTTAAAATTATTACGCCCATACCCAAGGGTTCCTGTAACAAAGTACTTACAGGAACCCAATGTTTATATAGCAATCACAACCCCAGGGTTTTCAATTAAAAATACCACAGAGACTTTTCTTAAGTTCCTCAGAACACCAGTATTCATTAACACCTGCAAACTGTTTGCATGCACTGAACAGCAGTAGTAGAAACATTATCCTAGGTTAATCCCATGGGTGTCCCGGAAAGAAAACTGTAGGTCATGGTCCCATGGGGTGTCACTGGGCCCATGCTGTGCTGAGCCAGCCCCACCCTTCACGGGCCCTGCCCCTCAGGGGAAAGCCCCCTCCCCCAACTGGGAAAGATGTCCCCACCCCTCACCACAGGCATGCATGTCACCTGCTCAGCACACCAGAGCTCACTCTGCTGTTGGGGTCACAGGTGAGTAAGAGAGCAGCAGAGCTGACCCAGTCCCCCTCCCCCCCAAACACACACAACAGCAATCTAGAGAACGTGTGGCCCCAGCTCCGAGGGCCTGAGACCAGGAGACCTGGCCCTCTCCTTGCTGTGGGCTGCACTGTGTGCGTTAGCTGAGGCAGTGCTGGAGAGCTGTCAGGGAGCCACCATGAGGGAGAGCGGGCGGCTGACCAAACCAGCTACCACCCAGGCCCAGAACCAGGGCTACGAGTCGGCCCACTCCAGCACCCAGCTTATCTAGGAACATGTGAAGGAGACGGACCCGCAGATGCAAACCGGCAGGCTCTCCACAACACAGGACAAGAGGAGATCCAAGGGGAGGTCCCATGAGAGCCTAGTTCAGAGCAGCAGCAGCAGCCAGAGGCCTTGAGCTGGACCAGTGACTCCTGGTAAAGATGAATGGACGAAGGGGTAAACTGTGTCAATCAATGGGCCACACTACAGCTTGCAAGATGAGACTCTTCTCCCTTCCCCCCCCTTTGTTTGTTTGTTACGTTTGGTCTTTGGTTTCTTTGGGGGGGGTTGCAAGGGCAGAGGGCACAGGGTAGATGGAAGGGGATGGGTGGGATCAGAGTGCATGACGTGAAATCCACAAAGAATCAATAAAAGTAAAAGGAATTGAAGAAAAGGAAAGAAAGAAAACTGTTATTCTGTCTGGCATTGGCATCGCTTTCCCTGGCTAACAACACCCTGCAGATCTCCTAGACTAAGGAAGTCGGAGGGGGCATGAATGGAAGCCCCTCCAGGACAGTTCCTATGGTGGCATGTGGAGGATGAAAATGTGCAGGTTGCAGGTGCCCGGGGTGGTAGGTTGTCAACAGCTGTTTTCTGAGACTTAAGGCTGGAGCACAGGAGGAACTTTCACAGGCTGCCATACAGGCAAACGAAGAGTTAACAGCAGCTGCCCGCCTGGTCACTTGTGTCCAGAGTTTTCCCTCTTCCCTTGTCCAAATTAAATTATACAATAAAGGCAGCAACTGCGGGTAAATCAGGGCATTTAGTTTTGTTTTTTTGCTGTTTATTGGAGTTAGGCTTCAACTTCCTTATTTTGACATTGCTCATGTCTTCAGTGATCCTCAGGAGTGCTAAAGCATTTCCATCAACACCTTGCGGGCTCCTTTCCACAAGTTGGGGTCTGGACTACGGATTTGTGGCTAAGAATCTAATTTAACCTTCACAGTAAGCCCGTGGACTCTTCTTATTCCTGCCTCAAAGATGAGCACTTCGAGCCACATGGAGAGCGAGCAGCTTTCATACTGTTGTAAAACAGTGAAGGTGCAAACAGGGTGTGTTAAGATGGAAGCCAGCACCTAGTCCTATCTACCAATCAGATACACACAGCACAGCCACCAGGCGTGACGACATTCTAACAGGGTACAGCCTAGTGGTACACTACTGTGAGGCGTCCCGAGCCGAGGTGCTGGCGATGCAGATGTTCCTGGAGCTCAATGCTGGCGATGCAGATGTTCCTGCAGCTCAAGGCTGATCGCCTCTCCTGGACAGGGATGACGAGCAAGCAGCTACAGTCACCATTAATTCTCCATCGCTCTCTACTCCTCTTCCTCATTTCCAGATCTCAAGTGAGGAGAATCATCACCCGGCCTTTCATCTCGCACTGGAACAATGGCTGCTATGCAAGGCAGTATGACTAGTACCAGCACGTGCCTGACACAGACGGGTTCTTACACATGCTGTAAATGCGCAAGCCACCACTGCCCCTGCCCCCTTTGTGGTGTGAGGGTACCAGCTGGACCTAAGCAATTCCTAATGGAATTCTCCTTAATCCCGTCAGTAGCCTTGCAGAACAAGGAGCATTTGAGAGAAAAAGAACTCAGCTTAAGTAGTTCACAAAGGCCAGCTCTAACAAAGAGGTACAGCCTCCTCCCAGGCTGAAGTCAGCTTCACCTGGAGGAGATGGAGACTGAGGCCGCTCTCTTTGACACTATTCAAGACCTAAATACAGCGTATGGAGGCCAAGTATTTAGTCTGTGTTGATAGCACTGGCTTAATGGAAATTTTTGATCGCAACACACACACACACACACACACACACACACACACACTATGATGCCTTTAACAACTTCTTCACTGCTGCTCATGAGCTAGCTGTGAAAATGTAATATAACTTCAGGTTCACCTCTAGCCACTCTGTTGAGTAGATGCCTGACCTCAGGGTGATACTTAACTTATGTGAGACACAGATTCTTCACCCAGATAATAGGGATATTGACTGTATGTCTCACCCACTTCACAGGTTCAAATGAGATAATGCATGGAAGGGACTTTTTTTCCTACATAAATGTCACAGTTTGTTTGGTGTTTCTGCAAACTACACTACTGAGCAGTTGCTACAAAAAGGAAAGGCCTGACCAGGGCCTGGAGGTGCTGGTCTGAAATGCAAGCTACTTGAGAGGCTTAGATGGGAAGGCCATAAGATCAAACTGGCCTGGCTACATGGTTCAGGGCTAACCTGGACAATTCAGGAGCCTATGCCTGATGTGAACGAGGCTCTAGGTTTTACACCTGTATCACAGAATAAAACAACTTCATGAGGTCAGACAAACCTAAGGCTCTGGGGGCATCATGTGAGTGAGTCCTTGAACTGCACACTCTCTAGTGGGGATCATGGTATGTAAACTTCACCTGCGTTCATAGGCCTGTAAATGGGAATATGTGGCTGCTACCTAAAACAGGGCTGGTGACACACAATACACATAAATAAACAGTATTTATGCGCCTTGGAAAAACATGAACATACATCCAGTAACCCATGAAAGCAGATGCAGAGGATCCACAGCCAAACACTGGGTTGAGCTCCTGAAGTTCTGTTGAAGAGGGGGAGGAGGGATCATATGAACAAAGGGGGTCAAGAGCATGATGGGAAAACCACAGAGGCAGCTGACCCGAGCTAGTGGGAGCTCACGGACTATGGACTGACAGCTGCGGAGCCCCCATGGGACTGAACTCGACTCTCTGAATGTGGGTGACAGTTGTGTGACTTGATCTGTTGGGGGGGGGCTGGCAGGACGTATCTGAGGGGCATACACTGGCTTTTTGGAGCCCATTCCCTATGGTGGGATACCTTGCTCAGTCTTGATACAGTTATACTGTAAAAGGAACAAAATATTGCAATAGTGACAAAGGTAGTCCTCATTCACAAAAGAAAAAAAAAATGCAGTGGCAGTGGGTAGATCCAGAAGACACAGCCATAAAGGACGATCAGTGTGAATGATACATGAATGATACATCACACACACACACACACACACACACACACACACACACACACACACACACGTGTCTCCTGATCATTTACTCAGTAGTATTCCTGAAAAACTAAATAAACTCCACATTATCATAAGAAAGCATCA